TAAAAGCTTTTCAATATATGGAAATGCTCTCCAAGCATGTTTTGGAATCTCAACTCTCCAAAAAATGGGAGTAAGTATGAAATGTATACTCAAAATAAGTATGAAGCACATACACAAGGATTTCCTACCAAAAGCATGGTGATTAAATTAGAATAATTACTAAGGGAAAATCTTTAGTACCTATAGCCCAGTTTTGACATTACTGTTATTAAGAATCAGGCCAAGCTAAAAAGCAAACATTCAAAACAGTATTGTATGTATCTAGCAGACACAGCAAAGATTGTTTAGATTTTATTTAATTTATATATAATTGTACATTTAATCACATATAAATAATACATATTAACAATATGGTGAATTATTTTGAGGGGTGGTGGTTTTGAACTTCAGAAGGGGCAGCAAGAAAATATGCATGAGGAGTGCTGGTAAAGTTTGGAAACTTACTATCTTTAATTATTTAGTTTTTTATTTCTTTCCTGTTAGTAGATCAATAGAATGTTCTAAAGTATTTTTTTTATTTTAGTTTTTCCCCCTTCAGTCTATGGGGTTTATCATACAGAAATGTATTTTAAGAAGTTAACGTGTAGTAATTATGAGGAAATGTTTTAACTTCATTTAACATCTGTACCAGATGTGATATATTTAATTATTTTTTTAATGAAAGTATTCATAACTTTTATTATCCTATATGGTGCATCTTTTATTGAGCATTTTAGACAATTGATAAGCATTATTCAGTGGCATATGGTCTGAGTCTGACGTGCTTTGAAAAGAGTACAGAGTTCTGATAATGAGGATTCTGAAAATGGGAAAACCAGCACAACAATATGCTTTGAGGAAGTATGGGTTTTTAGCATCTTGAAACAATATATCACACTCAAAGGGACAGAACTGGGCTGCACAATCTGTTAGCTCATTCTTGTCCAATCTGGTCTCCTCCTTTCTTTTGGAGCCAGCATTGTCATCAACTCACTGAATTATATTCTGACTGGAATGTATTTCAGGCACAGAGTAATGTATCTACTTAAATGGAATCCTATCTTTCTACAAAAGCTTTTTGAGTATAATAAATTTAAAATATAAAAAAATTCTATTAAGTTAAAGTAATTGGTTCAACAGTTTACATATGTGCCTCCTCCCCCACCACCCTAAGAAAAGACCATTACTTAGAGGAATATAGATCTGTCTTTCTTTCATTTATAATATTGAATAATTTTATTTTTTTTTTGGTTTAACAGGTAGTCAGATGTATTTCAAAGACTATTTATTGGAAAGATACTTATACATTACAACAAATGTTAGTTGAACAGAAATAAACTATGGAATTAAAACTTCCTGAATCAAAGTGTTTTAATTATCATGATTTTTTTTTTTAATTCTGTAGCAGCCTTTCTTAACAAGAATTAAACCTTAACTTCTAAGGCACCCATTGTACGTAATGAATGATCTTTTCTCCTAAGCATCCAGAATGGTACACTACCTATGCTTGGGAAAATGAAGTGGTAATTCAGATTTTATTGTCTCATGGAACCAGGATTGAGAAAGCCACCCTATAGAAAGACAGTCACTGTCTTTTAATTTGTAATATGTGGAGTATGTGAATGAATTGGGTATTACATTAGAGCTATATTTATGTAAAGGATTAAATGTGATAATTTTGTAAAGTAATAGGCACAATGCCTGATACATAATAAGTACTCAACAAATCATATCTGGAATCATGTTTTAAGCTTTCATTATCCTTAGTTCCTGAAAAATTTTGTTTGTATTATGTTTTGATCAAGATGAAACTTAATCAAAATTTTGCATTTTAAAATTTAAACAGGCTGTTGTAGTAGTATTTTATGCTTAGTGATTAACATTACTATAAATTTTGCTTTTTTTATGATGTTCAAAAACTCAGAATTCATCCATAGTAACCATGTAATAAATGAAGTTGTTTTTTGTGATTGTCCTCATGAGGATTTTAGGTCTTTGCCAGTTCAGATAGGCAGATAGTTCTTTTTAAATGCATTGATTTATGTGAAAGTGGGGGCAGGAGAATGAAAAACAGCTAGCCTTCCCTGATGTGGAAGGACAGGATATTAATGCCTCACCAAGCCTCCTGCCATAGGATTCTTTAGCTTTTCTACTGTAAATGGTGCATTACTTTTTGGATCAGATTGGCATTGCCATGGAACAATAAATTATACAAGTTAAAAAATATATACTTTTGTTTAAGTTGTGAAACTGAAAAAAAAAATTCCCTGCCTGAAACTGTCGTAGCAAGAATATCAGTGAATTAAGCCTTGATAGCATAAATTGAAGATATTTCATGGGGTGGACCATTAAAAAAATGGATAATAGGCTATCACTTGAGAATGGCTAATGTATAATTTATGAGACAAGACAAGCTCCTTTCTTTATAGCATGCATTTGTAGTCAACTTATCCTGTGCTAATTTTAAAGGTAAACTGGGTTTATATTAATACATTTCTATATTCTTGCTTAACAATTTACAAAGTAAATAATGCAGGAATATCAGGTGACCTTACAGTAACTATGAAACAGAATGAACTGTTTATACATTGCATTTCTATCATGGGAAGTTGGTAAATAACATTCTGATGAGTGTGTCGTTAAAATAGTACATCATCTATGTGGTGCTTTTTATACATTAATAATTATTATAAAGGCAAAATTCATCTTCCTATTTTTTGGATTATTGATATAAAACAACTGGTTTTCACATTAAAAAAGAAAGACAGAAAAATTTTTGACCATTGGGGGGAAAAAGAGTAAGAATAAAAACGGTTGGAATGCTTCACAATATGGATATGCATATCTTACGCATTTTTACTAAACTGCAGGAGCAGCCTGCTAAAGTGTGTGAGCTACTTGCTGGTTTATGCACAGCCAGGAGTGTATTACAGGTATACTTGTGTATCTTAGAGGTGATTAATAGTAGAAGGAAAAAAGGAAATGAAGTTTGAAGACAATATCAGTTTTTAATATTTTTTAATATGTTTTTTAACTAAATTTTTAGAGAGAGAGGAAGGGAGAGGGATAGAGAGATAGAAACATTGATGAGAGGGAAACATCAATAGGCTGCCTCCTGGGGATCAAGCCCGAAACCAGGAATGTGCCCTGACCAGGAACTGATCAGGTGACCTCTTGGCTCATGGGTTGATGCTCAGCCACAGCCACACCTGCCTGGCAGTTTTTAATATTTCTGTCTCAGTCTTCAGACATATAATAATTACACATGTACCTATTTCCAAGCTCCCATTCCATGATTGTTCACTCTTGGACTGTGGTAGTGAAGCTACAGACATCACTAAAATGTGTGTTTCTTAAAGAATGCTTATGTATTCTCTCTTTTTTTTTTAAATCCTCACCCGAGGATTTTTCTTCCATTTCTTTTCAGAGAGAGTGGGAAGGGAGATAGAGAGAGACACATCAATGTGACAGAGACACATCGATGAGGTTGCTTCCCGCATGCTTCCGACCGGGGTCAGGGACTGAGCCTACAACCGAGGCATGTGCCCCTGGCTGGAACCAAACCCGGGACTCTTCAGTCCGCAGGCTGATGCTCTCCCCACGGAGCAACCCGGCCAGGGCTTGTGTATTCTCAACCTGCTTGATCCCTGCGTTACTCCCCTCATGGAGTTGCCCAGAAAGAACTTCCCCATGCTGCACCTTGAGTCGTCCTCTGCTCTGAGGCCCAGGAGAGGTCTGTCATTACATAGAAAGAGATGGGGCTTTCTACTTAGTTCTTTACAGGGAGTCAGTTTTGTAAGAAAGTAAGATTTGCTGCATGTTACCATGAAATGTGTGTTGCATTAAATATTTTACATGTAGAGTGGAAAGTGATAGAATATTCATAAAGTATGAGTGTTTATAAAATATGAATTTCAGAAACCATTTAGACATGAAAATGTAATGAGTTAAACCGAGGTTGGATATTAAATCTGTTCTAAAACTTAAAAACTGGAATATATAAAAATTCTTATATATAATAACATTGGCATTTAAAATAAGTGAGATAAGGAATTATTTGCCAGAATTGCTAGAATAATTGATTAATTATTTAGGAAAAGTAAACTTAGGTTTCTACCATACTTTCTATTGCAAATAAATTACAAGTTAATTATTTAAATATAAAAAATAAAACTATAACAGAAGTTGAACTGGTAGGTGACTCTGTATTTGATTTCAGGATGAGGCAACAAAACATATGGGGTCAATTTAAAATTTTAAGTTCATAAAGTAAAAAAAAGAAAATTAAATGAAGGACAAAAAGCTGGATGAAAGCATTGTAGCATCTGCTGGACAAGGAGTTAATACCCTTTATCCATAAAGACCTATCAGAAGCCAGTACGTAAAAGAGCTATCCATCCACCTAAAAACTGAAAAGATAATTTACAAAGAAAATCAGCTGGTAAATATGAAAAATATTTAACTGCACTGTTGATTGAAGAAACAAGAAGTAAACAAAAATAGCACTAGATTGATTTGTAAATTATTAAACTGAGGCTCGAAGGGGTTATCTGGCTTGCCCTGGGCCACGAAGGCAGTGAAAAAACCTAAATTTGAACAATTCCCATCTGTGTGGTGGGATTATGACTGATTTTTATTATTTTTAGTTCATATTTTCTAAATTTTTAGCACTGAGCCAAAAGAAATAGATGTCTTTTCTATAGTGAGAGATGAACAGTGACACTGAAACATTTTAGGCAGTACCGCACCCCCTTAATAGTCTAGCGGATATTCCACTTATCCATAGATTGTTTTTTTCTTTGATGAATAAAAATAAGATGGAAAAGATTTAAACTTTATTCAGAATATATATTCTCACTAAGATATTCTTTTCAATTAATTTCACTTTAATCATAACTATAGGTGGGGCATATGTTTTTATGTTCATATAGTGTCATAAGCAAAAACTAAAATAAATACAGTCGTAATATAAAAATTTTAAAGCTGATGCGCCTACGTCTTATAATTGTTTGCATTTGCAGATGGAGAACATCATTGGAACGCTGAGAGATTCCAACCTGAAGCTTACACTTGCTTTCGGAATAGGAATGCATCATGCTGGACTGCATGAAAGGGACCGGAAGACAGTAGAAGAACTCTTTGTAAACTGTAAAGTTCAGGTATTGTTTTTTTTCCATGACCAGATATTTAAATGTAATTTAAAAGTTATGTTTTAGTTAGATATATTATCCTTTATTTTTTAGGTTCTTATTGCTACAAGTACATTAGCCTGGGGTGTAAACTTCCCAGCTCATTTAGTAATTATTAAAGGAACAGAATATTATGATGGCAAAACAAGACGTTACGTGGATTTTCCCATTACAGGTAATTTTTTTTTAATTTATAGATGCAGTAAGCTTAATTATTTGAATTTGTGTGAATTAAATTTTAAAGAATTGGTCACATTTAAACATGATGAGCAAATTGTAAATTTTCGTTCCCAGTGCAAACATTAAAGTATTGAGGTGTTTTATTTACTTTTACTTACCCAGTCTTACATGTACCCAGTTTGTTAAGAAACATCTAAAGCATAACGGTTTCAAATTCATAAATAAATAAAAGTATTGATTAGTAGCTATTAGTGACTTAATAAATTATGATTAAACGTTATAATGTTTAATTTTAAATTTATTTCACTAGAAATGATTGCTTTCCTGGGACTTTTGGAACCAAAGCACTGTTACATGAACAGTCTATTAACACATTTTAAAACTTGATGAAACCATTTTCAGTGCTGAAGAGAAAAATATACTCAATGTGCATTTATACTCAGTGAATACATGTAGAATCTGTATTATTTCTACATCCTTACTTACTTCAGAGATTCCTGTAGTATAAAAGAAAGATATTTTATACCATGGGTGGATGAAGAGCGAGGTCTAAATAGACCCATTATTCATGGGAAGAAATAATCAAATGACTCTGCTAAAGAGATTTTTCTAAATATGTGTTACTTTTTCTTGTTAAATTAAAATAGCAGTAACTCTTAAACATCATTTTTAAGCATTTAACTAAAGGAGCATTTTCTCTTTCTTACATTTACAAACTTTTACTTTGGGGGACTCAGTTGTTTATCATAGTTAATTCATTATTTAATTAAGAAACTCAATAGTAGGCATCAGAGATAGCATACATGCTCTTAAGCTATTCTGTTGCCTTTGTTATTCTGTTGTGTTGTAGACACATGCCATATTCAATAAATATACCTTGTGCCACATGGTAGCATACCTCTTGTTCTCTTTTTCATAGATGTTCTCCAGATGATGGGACGTGCTGGGAGGCCTCAGTTTGATGACCAAGGCAAAGCTGTAATTCTGGTTCATGACATAAAGAAAGACTTTTACAAAAAATTTCTTTATGAACCATTCCCAGTAGAATCAAGGTAAATTTTGCTACAAATTATTTTAAATTTAATTCATGTCATAGCAAGTTGATATTTTTGTGGTTACATTTTATTAGATAAAAATCAGTAAAAATAGTTCAGAAAAATTATTTGAAATGAAACTGAATGTAATATCACTATAACATTCAATTATAATTTTAATTTTAAAAAATTTTTAGTCTTGGCTCTTGTGGCTCAGTTGGTTGGACAACATCCCTTGCACCAAAAGGTTGCTGGTTCAGTTCCCAGTCAGGGCACATGCCTGGGTTGTGGGTTTGATCCCCTGTTGGAGCCCATATAGGAGGCAACCAATCGATGTTTCTTTCTCACATGGATGTTTCTTTCTCTCTTTGCCCCTTCATCTCTCTCTAAAAAACAATGAAAACATATCCTCGGGTGAGGATTCAAAAATTAAAAAATAATTGAAAAGCAGTTGAATCCTAAATGTAAAATCTTTCTGCAAAGAAATATCTTGATGTAGAAATTCTAAACAAAACATGAGCAAATCAAATGCAGCAATGTAAAGAAAGATAATATATTACAATGAAGTATAGTTTATCCCATAAATGCAAAGATTATTTATTACTTGAAAATAAATTTAACACAAATTTATTACTTGAATATAATTTACCACAGTACCAGGAAAAAATGAGAAAAATCATGATTACCTTATAGATGTAAAAAAACAAAAACAAAAAACGTTTGATGAAATTTCACACCAATTCATAATAAAAACTGTTTGCAAACTGGAATGTAAGGAATGTCCTCAATTTGATAGAGTATCTACAAAGACATTTTTACATCAGTAAAAATTTAAGTAAAAATTTTAATTTGTATCTTGATAATTATTAATGTTTTATCTATTACAGATTATTCCATAGTTTATATTAACTTCTGTATTAATGGGCATTTAGAGAGTTTCCAGTTTTTTTCTATTACATGTGATGTTGCAGTGAAGTATTTTGCTTTCCTATCCTAACATATGTTTCTGTAGCAGGCGATAATAGAAAAGTGGAATTGCTAAGTCATGATGACTAGTCAGATAGGTATTGCCAAATTACCATCCAAATTGACTAGATGGACTTATACTCTGCCACTGATAAATAGAGAGTAATAGAGTAACTTGTTGTTTTATATTCAGTGTATTATGGCCATTTTCTCATGTCCTCAAGACATCCTTTGCTAAACCTATTTTTAATATTATTCCATGTATCACATAATTTACTTAGCCTTTTCTTTTGTTGGACATTGCTTTTCATTTTTGTATTTTACGTAAGAAAATAAAGTGAACATTTTGTTATGCCAGTCTTTCAACACCTCTGATTATTAGCAACACCTAGTACAATTATGTCATCTATGACTAGAAACTTAATATTCACTGAATGAATGAAAGTAATATATTTGCTGTCATAACTATTATTTTTTTTCTGCCAAACCTCCTTTGATCTGCTTCAGTATTATCCCTCACTTACTCCTATATGCCATAAGTATACTCTTCCATGCTCTCCAAGATATATCTTCTGCTGTCTGCTCTTACTTTGGCTTCATTTTCTCCATTCAGCACTTATTTTCATCTTGCAATTCATTTCCCCCAAATCATAGACAAAATATACAAATTATACAAAACATGTTTCTTTTTTATCTTGGAACATAACATCTGAGTCTTGACTGTGGGAGATAAAGTGTGCTTCATTTAATGTTCATGTATGTTCCCCTTGTCTTGTTCACTATATAGTTTACTAGGAGTGCTGTCTGACCATTTAAATGCAGAGATCGCTGGTGGTACAATAACATCTAAGCAAGATGCAATGGATTATATCACCTGGACTTACTTTTTCCGACGTCTTATCATGAACCCCAGGTAAGCACAGGGCAACTGTTTACTTCTGTTTTGTTTTTGTTTTTTTAAATATATCTTTATTGATTTCAGAGAGAGGAAGGGAGAGGGAGAGAGAGAGATAGAAACATCAGTGATGAGAGGGTCATTGATCGGCTGCCTCCTGCACACCCCCGACTGGGGATGGAGCCTGCAACGCGGGCATGTGCCCTGACCGGACTCGAACCATGGTCTCCTGGATCCTAGGTCGATGCTCAACCGCTGAGCCATGCCCTGCCGGGCACTTCTGTTTTGCACTGAAAGAAAATATGTTTTAAGTAACAATCTCTAAATTCAGGTACACAGTTTGTTTGTTTTCCACCAGCATTTCCACTTTAATAGATAGGAGTTTGAGAATATGGTGACGTTTTGCTCAGTTTCCTCAACTGTTGGAACCTCTGGATTAAGTACAAAATTCATTTGGGAACATGACCGGAAATAGTGAGCTCACCATTTAGCCCTTCAAATTTTTATAGTAAGTGGATGACAGGATTAGAATTGTGGAACTGTATAATGAAATAGACTTTTCATGTACTCTTGTCTAAGCTTCTTGTTTGGTATTGAAAAAAGGGAGGCTGGAAACATGAAGCGACTTGCCTTGGACCCTATAACAAATACTTTGTGATAAAGCTAGGACTTAAAACCTAAGCTTTCTGACTTACAACTCTTTATTTCTTTAGAGGCAGGGAGGGCCTGGTGTGTAACTGTAGATGTATTCATTTTTTATATCATAAGAATAGAGGCAATTTGTGTGGTAGAAGGGGCTTTGAACTTGGAATCAGAGCACTGATTCTTGTGTCAGCACTTAACCTTTACTAATTGCGACCTTGAGTCACCTCGCCTCCCTCAGCTTCACTTTCTTGATCTGGAAAGTGAGTAATAGCCTACCTCACAGGGTCATGTTGAGAATCAAATACATGAATTAAAGCCTTACTAAGTTCAGTATTAATTATGAAGAACATAATTAGTGTTGATTAGTGAGCTGTTTTTCCTGTATGCCCTCCCAATTGCTTCATTGGTCTGTACCAGTGATTTTCAACTTGTGTGCCACAAGAATTTTTAAAATATACAATACCTGCCTCTTAAGTCAAGGGCACTGACCTCTTTTCCCTCAGGTTGTCAAATAAAAAACTGACAACAGCCAACACAGCTGTAGCTGTCCAGTGTGAGTGAATTAAAATTATATATATATTTTTTGTCAGATCAGCAAATGACATTTTAGAGAGATAAATACTGGCCAGTTACTTTGGTAGACTGTCTAATTTGGGTTCAGCTTCAATGTCCTCATTCCTAAATTTAAGTTTTGCCTTTTTTTTTTATTAGCAAGAATACTGTAAAGTGGTGATGTGCTCTTCTCACTGCATGATACTAAGAAATTTTTCTCCAGAGATCCCTTCTATATTTAAAAGATTACCAGTATGTGAAAGACCCCAGTTACTCCAGTCTCCTCTTTCTCTCAAGTTACAGTCTCATTTTTCCACCTGCCTTCTGAATGTTGTCAGGTAGTCTTCCCACCATCATTTTGAGCTCAACATGTTTAAAACTGAATTAATCATATATCAAAATTCTCCGCTGTCTTACTTTTGTTAATGTTATTATTCTGCATCCATTTACCTTGACTTCCAACCTCAGAATCACTTTTTAAATTTTCTTCTCCTTGTTTTCTTAGTTCTCCAGCTGCTTGACCTGCTTTTAGTCTAACCCCAAGCTAGCCTAATTTGCAAACTGTCAGATAGTATTGATCAAAAATTAAACGTATTATATTGGAGGTGGGAACTAGATAAGGTTTAGTTAGTAGACATAGGAAACATTAAGTCTTTAAATTCAGATAATGAGTAGGAGACTGACCAGGGTTTACATTTTTTCCACCATGAGAGTGAGGTGAGCCAAGAGCACAGTTGGGGACATCAGTTGGAATAGGGATCCCACTGAGAGAAACTGGAGTAGGCATCTCTCCCTGTTGCTCTGGTTACAAACTGCCTTCTATTTAATAATATTATGGTAAGAAAATCTACATGCAACTATAATAAACAGTACTTATTTGGGGCAGAACAAGAAGCTTGAGGGGGTCAGCACAGTGGACAAAGATGAAATCTTGAGGGTTATTACTGAAAAAATTATGCCAAGTCTCTGAACCAAAAGACTTCGTGGATATTGGCAGCTTAGGGGGTCTCCTGCTCATATGAGTGTAGCCCATGTAAATGAGTGAGTTTTCCTTAGTTCCCATTACCTCACCTTCTTTATTGATCCATCTTTGCTAGGAGGAAATTCTGGGACTGGGAGTAAGAAAGATACGGCATCTCCATGCATCATCTTAGGGCACTTAGTTGTAGCAGCTGCTTTTCCTGCTCTCACTGCTCCACATGGAAGTTGAATATTTTTCCTCCACCACCACAGGCAAGGGGTTAGGATAGATCAGAGTAGACATGAAGCCACACCAAGTGAGGTTCCTCTCACTTTTGCTGTCACTTCTTCCTGCATGGAGTGCCCTCCTAAGCCCTTATACCCAACCAAACTTAACAGTTTTAAAAATCTGGTCATATAGTGATAAATGTGCTTCAGTTAATTTTAGGAGATTGTGCTTTTTCCACTTTTGACCATCCATGTCAAGTATGCCACTTCCTTTAGTAGCCATCTATACATATTTTGAAATACCTGGCTAAGTTAAGACTAAGACTATCATTATTGTTCTGAAGTAGAAACTGATGCCTGGGCTGTTGCCATGTGGATTAATCAGTCCAGAATAGGTGTAGCAATAATTTTTTTTTTTAAAGAGCTATGATGGCATATTTCACATAAATAGAATAAGTAACCCTAAAATTTTTACAGAACCACAAAAGACCCTGAATAGCCAAAGCAATCTTGAGAAACAAAGCTAGAGGCATCACACTTCCTAATTTCAAACTATATTACAAAACTACAGTAATCAAAACAGTGTGGCATTGGCATAAAAACAGATGCTTAGATCAGTGGAACAGAATAGAGTCTAAAATTAAACCCACGCATATATAGTCAATTAATTTATCACAAAAGAGCCGAGAGTATACAGTGGGGAAAGGATAGTCTCTTCAATAAATGGTGTTGGAAAAACTGATAGCCACATGCAAAAGAATGAAACTGGGTCATTATCTTATACCCTAGAGAAAAATCAACTCAAAATACATTAAAGACTTGAATGTAAGACCTGAAACCGTAAAACTCCTAGAAGAAACTTAGTGGGAGTAAGGTGTTGAGTTCTTGAATTTGACACCAAAGTAAGGGCAACAAAAGCAAAAATAAACAAGTGGGACTATATCAACCTAAAAAAACTACTACATGGCAAAGGAAATCATGAACAAAATGAAAAGGCAACCTATCAAATGGGAGAAATTATTTGCAAATTATATATCTGATAAGGGGTTAATACCCAAAGCATATAAAGAATTTATACAACTCAATAGGGGGAAAAACATGCAATTTAGAAATGGTCCAAGGATCCAAATAGACATTTTTCCAAGAAAGATACATATGGCCAACAGGTACATGAAAAGGTGCTTAACATTAATCATCAGGGAAATGCAAATCAAAACCACAATGAAATATCACTTCACAAAAAATAAACAGTGTTGGAAAGGATATGGAGAAAAGGGAACCCTCACATACCACTTGTGGATTGAAAATTGGTGCAGCCAATATGGAAAACAGTATGGAGGTTCCTCAGAAAATTAAAAATAAAACTATCTGATCTGTCAATTCCATTTCTGGGTATTTATCCAAAGCAGATGAAATCACTATCTCAAAAAGATACCTGCACCCTCGTGTTCATTGTAACGTCACTTACAATAGCCAAAACATGGAAACAACCTGGTGTCTATGAATGCATAAAGAAGATCCAGTATGTGTGAGTGAGTGTGTGTGTGTATGTATATTTTGAGCAGAGGATTAACAGAATATTTTTATATCATAAGACATGTTCATTATAATCATAAATGTTATAAATTATTTAAACTTTCCTGTTGAAAGAAATTCTCTGGATTCATTTCCATAAAACTCAAAATAATATAGAAAAGTTGAAAATTAAGGATGAAAGAAGATATGAAGGAAAATAACAAAGAGAAAGTAATAGCTGAAGAATTCAAATCAAAATGAAATTCAAGGTAAAAAAGATTTAAAAGGACAAAGAAAAATGCTTCATATTGATAACAAGCACAATCACTATAAGATTATAGTAGCTTCCAAATTTTTAGATAACTAAAGATATAGCATCAAAGTATATAAAGCAACAAGCGATTGAAATCCTAGACATTAACTAAATTACAATCATGTTGAAAGATTGTCAATTTACATTCTTGTGTGTGTGATACATATATGCAAATATATACATGTATGCATATAAAGATGCATATTTATATGTATAAATATATGTAGACACACATACACTTATACATTCGTTTGTTCAACTATATATAAACACATGTACTGGGGCATCATGAAATATAATATATTCTAAATTGAGTTCTGGAATCAATTTGTATGTTCAGTTTTACTCTCTGTTTTCCCTTGAGAAAGCTTTTAAATATTTCTGGGACAAAAAATGTTGTGGTAGTTTCAGCTGTCCCTGCAACCACTTTCATTATTTCTGTCGTTATTACTGCTGCATAATCTGAACATAAAAAAAATGGTGCTGTAACAAATGACTTCCCAGTACTGACAGTTATAGCAGCAGCATTTCAATACTGATGAAAAATTTCCCGGCGAGATCTCTGGCCAGGTTTACATAAACCAAACAGGAAATGGCTGCCACTATTCACATTAAATCCAAACTGTTCGGTGTAACTTTATCTGTGTTTTACATTACAGCAAAATTTCTTTTATTCCGAATGTTGAAATGTTATCCTTTTTAAGGTTGGAAAAAGATAACTTGAGGTTGCATATGTGATATTCTTGTCTGTCCTTTGATAAAATCTTTTGAAGATAATTTTTTGAAGTTGTCTTACTTTTTGATTGTTTAAATTTAATGAACTTTGTAAATTTTTATGATAGGGAGAGTTTTGTTATGGCTTTTTCCCAGTGGACTGCTAATACAAGTTAGCCTGTCTAGCCCATGTGCTGGATGCTGTCAGTATCAAGCTGCCTTTGACTTTCACACCTCTCAGGGGACTAGTAATTGTTGTGTTCAAACAGCCTGTAATTGTGATCCCGCTGGCTTTCTCAGTACGCTTCTGGCTATTAGAATCATTAAACAACTCAGCACCTGTTAACAGCATTGTAAATATTCAACCCTGCTTGTGTGCAGGTTGAGTCCAATATAGAGAAATCTTACAGAGCTCAGCCTCATAAATTAGAGCTTCTGACAAGTCAATTATTGCGAAACTGGGTTTCTCTGTGAAATAAATGAAATAGCATGCTGGCAGAAAGGTAGGCTGTCTGTTTATGGCAAAGAGAAGATAATGACTTGATGATTCAATGCACTGAGCATGAAAATACACTGTATTCTTTATCCGTAATTAAACAGTGTGTTAATATTTCTGTTTAAATAACGAGTAAATTATAAATTTTGTACTGTGGAGAGTGCAACATGAAAACAGACCTTTTTACTTAGCTGTTGCATGCTTTTTCAAGTTAGTAAAGTGATTATTGAAATTATATGTAATGTTTTAAGCTAAATGCTCACGTGATAGAAGTGAAGGCCCTTTGATGCTACAAATAAAGATCATGTAATTCTGAACTCCATCCTTTATTCACAAAAAAGTGTCAGAATATATTATCTCTCAAATTTTTACCTAAAAAAAACTTCATTTACATTTGGTTGTATTATTTATCTTGTAAATTGTATGTTTAATGAAGATGTAGTACTATCTTTTATAAGTATGTGAAAATTCTTTATGTATCCTTAGAATCTCAGTTGAAATATTAACAAAGAATACTTTGTGTAAATCAGTGCAGTTATATCATTAACAAAACTAGGTGCATTTTATTATTTCTGTGGGCTACATAGGAAACAAGTATTTTAATTAGTGGGACTTTACTATTCTTGAGTATAATATTTCAACTAACATTCTCTATATTTAAAAGTTGTCCCCTTTTAAAAATAAAAGTTATCACATATGCCAGAGTACCCAAAGAAAACAGTTTTAGGGATTTCTAAATTCTAGATTTCCCCAGATATTATAAGGATAAAAGTGTTGATATTGAATAAATTTTATGTCAGTTCAGTTACTTAAAGTGAATTTTGTATTTCTTTTTTTTACAAGTCAATAAGAATGTTGGTGAGTGCATTTGAAAAGAACTGTATTAAGAAGAAATATCAATGGAAATTTTTTAAGTTATTCAGCAAAAAAATTTGTTAATTTTTAGCAAGTTAGATTATGGATAATATTTTAGTGTAGTCATCAGATAATTTGTTATAGCTTCAGAGGCATGATTTTAGTTCATTATTTCTGCAATTCATTTTAAATGTTTAAGAAATGTTTACCCTAACTGTACTTTATCTGGATAAAAGCTAGAAATTAGTCTAAAACATTTTCCAGTAGACTTAAACAAACATGAGGGATATTAGCCCATCAGTATGTACCTTGTAATACATAAAACAGTTAATAAAATAAATATAAGAAAGAGCCTATAATATTTTTTATATTTTTAAATATATTTTTATTGATTTTAGAGAAGAAGGGAGAGGGAGAGAGAGATAGAAACATCAATAATGAGAGTCATTGATAGGTTGCCTCCTGCATGCCCCCTGCTGGGGATCCAGCCCACAACCTGGGCATGTGCCCTGACCAGGAATCGAACTCAGGATCTCCTGGAACATAGATCGATGCTCAGCCGCTGAGCCACGCCATCAGGGCAAGAGGCTGTAATTTTTAAAGGAAAGTCTTTATTACTAATGGTTTTGAATATTATTTGTAAGTATACCGAATTTATTAGGTCATAATATGGTAAAGTTGGCATTCTGGTTATATTTATAGGGGAATGGCTCATGGTAATCAGTAGCAGCATCCATGAAATTTCTTGTTTTCAGATAGCACACATGAATTGCCAGGATTACTACTGTCCTGTGCTTGGGGGCCATCATTAAGTAAAATAAGAGTTATAGTGCAAGCACTGCAGTACTGTGACAGTTGATCTGATAACCAGCATGGCTATTAGGTGACTAATGGGCAGGTAGTGTATACAGAGTAGATAAAGGGATAATTCACGTCCCAGGTGGAACTTGGCAGGGTGGTGCCAGATTTCATCAGGCTACTCAGAATGGTGCACAATTTAAAACTCACAAGTTGTTTATTTCTGGAATTTTCCATTTAATATTTTCCAACTTCAGCTGACCATGGGTAACTGAAACTGGAATGAAACTTTGGGTGGGGGGGTAGGGGGGCTGCTATATAAAGTAAGGAACTTTTTGCAGAAAGTTTGGCTGATAAACTTCATTTGTTGAGAAAAAATGAAAGATAAAATATATGACTACAACTCAAACAGTGTAGCGGTTAGGGGCACCAACCCCTGTGCAGTTGAAAATGTGTGTTTAACTTTTGACTTCCCAAATACTTAACTACTAATAGCCTACTGCTCACCAGAAGTCTTACCTATAACATAACAGTCAGTTAACACATATTTTGTGTTATATGGATTATATCTGTATTCGTACAGTAATGTAAACTAGAGAAAAGAAAATGTTAAAATCTTAAGGAAGAGAAAATACATTAACAGTACTTATTGAAAAAAATCCATCTGGCAGTCGTCAAAGTGCTCTCTATATCTATGAGTCTGTTTCTGTTCTTGCTCGTTTATTTTGTTTTTTAGATTCCACATGTAAGTGAAATCATATGGCATTTGACTTACTTCACTCAGCACAGTACCCTCTAGGTCCATCCGTGTTACTGCAGACGGCAAGATTTCGTTCTTTTTTATGGCCGAGTCGTTTCCATTGTGTTTATGCACCATTCTTCCTTACCCACTCATCTGTTGATGGACACTCAGGTTGCTTCCATATTTTGGCTATTGTAAACAATACTGCAGTGAACATACAGCTGTACATGCCTTTTCAATGAACCGTTTTGGGTTTTTCTTTAGGTAAACACCCAGAAGTGGAATTGCTGGGTCCTTATTTGTCACTTGTTTGTTGTAGCCTTAGTTTTAAAGTCTGTTTTGTCTGCTATGAGTATAGTTACCCCAGCTTTTTTGTTTTGCTTTGTTTCCATTTTCATGAAGTATCGTTTTCCCTTTACTTTTCGTCTGTGTGTATCTTTCGATCAGAAGTGGATCCTTTGTAGACAGCATACATAAGGGTCTTGATTTTGTTTTCCATTCAGCCACCATATGTCTTTTGATTAGAGCCTGAAAAGTTAGTTTATTTTTAATGTGATACTGAACTTTATCTTATTATCTTACATTTTTAAATGTATTGTCATTGTTCATCATTTTCAGCAAATCTTAGTATGGGGATATTGATCTGTAAAATGGAAATGGTATTCGCAATTGCTTTATTTTTTTTAACTGCTGTAAATGTAATTTTTTTAATTCTGAAAAGCAAAGAACAATGTGAAATTGAAGCTATAGTTTTAATAGAAAATATCTTGAAACCTTGTTTATTTTCTAGCTACTACAATTTGGGTGATGTGAGCCATGATTCTGTGAACAAGTTTCTGTCCTTTCTGATTGAGAAGTCTCTGGTTGAATTGGAGCATTCCTATTGTATTGAAATTGGAGAGGTATGAGCCAGTTACATACATTTCCATTGAAAAGTTTGCCCAGCTTTTTAACAACAGGACTTTTGCTTCTAATGATAACCAAAAAGTTAAACAAAATTGTTACCATAACAACTCCAGTATGAATTATTAATTTTATAAATGTATGCACTTTTTTTATACTTTTTCCTTATGTCACTTTAACTTCCATTTGAAATAGGATAACCGGAGCATTGAACCTCTGACATATGGCCGAATTGCCTCTTATTACTATTTGAAGCACCAAACAGTTAAAATGTTCAAGGAGCGTTTGAAACCTGAATGCAGTACCGAAGAACTGCTTTCAATTCTAAGTGTGAGTTTCATGTTATTATTGCATTGTTCTTTAAGATAAGAGATTTTTTTATATATCCCATACCTTCTCTTAATTTGCGTCTTAAATTGTTGCCATCCAGTTCCTCTTGAAATTTGGCAGAAACTTTTTATGAGGTTCTTTCATCTGTCAAACAAGATCACTAAAGCAACATATCTAGACCAAGTTCCCCATAGATAAGGTGACCACATAATTTATCATCCAAACTTGGATCTTTCTGAGAATGGAATGCAGCACTACCAATATTTAAGCCAGGATAATAGGTATAAACTGGGCTGCCCTTGGCAGCGAGGTGGTCACCCTGTCCTTTAATAGAGTAAAATCCCTGTATTGTAATTGAAAGCCTTTCTTATTGCTTCTTTGGCGTAATTCTTCTTGAATCCATGGTGTTACTGAAGTTTCTTTACATAAAGATCCACATAATTACATTCTCTTAGAATTAATACCAGAAAAGAAAGTTGTTTAATTCATGCCCCCCTTCCTTTCTAAAAAAAAATACAACCAGATTTATCCCATGGTAAAAACAAACAAAACTGTACTGTGTTCATTTTTGCTAAGAAGTTAAGAACTAAATTTAATACTGAAGTTGAAGTTACTGTTAGTAATATCTTTTCCATCTTCCTTTATTTATTTTTGTCTTTGTTGAGTTTAAGTATAATAATTTACCATTTAACTTGATTGACATATTAGTCAGGATAGTTACAAGTAAATACTATATATTATCTTACCCCTCAGGTGTGTTGATGCTTGCTTTTTTAAGAGTTCAGAACCATTGAACAAGTCTTTATGGTCCTTCTCTTTATTAATTCACTGATTCTGAGGTAGTTCACTTATTTGCTTTTTCCTACCTCTCCTACTACATTATCATTCTTAATAGGCTTTAATATCCCATTAACAGTTTTTCATGTTTTCATTGTTTTGCCTTTGAGAAACTAGTATATAGATTTTGTGTGTAGCATAGGGCCAAGTACAGTTGTAGTGAGTCCGAAGATATTTGTTAATGAATTGATGAATGGATGGCTCCTGTATTAATCAGTTTTCTATTGTTTGCTCTATAGAAAAAAATAGAGGAGCCTGGCTGGAGTGGCTCAGTTAGCTGAGCATCGTCCTGTGCACCAAAAGGTTGCCAGTTTGATTCCCCGGCAGGGCACATGCCCATGTTACTAGTTAGATCCCCAGTTGGAGCACATATGAAGGCAACCAATCCATGCTTCTCTCTCACATCAATGTTTCTCTCTCCCTCTCTCCCTCCCTCTCTTCCTCTCTCCCTTCCTCTCTCTCTCCTCGCTTCCTCTGTAAGCATGTCCTCCAGTGAGGATTAAAAAAAAGAGTAGAGGATTAAAGTAAAGGCAGCTATTGAAAAAAAAATGTGGTTTTTGTAAAATTAAAAATTCATATCTGAAGTAAGTATTAAAAAATATGAAGAATTTTTTAGATCCCCAAAAATAAGAATTTTATCATGTCCCAGGTCCCAGTCAGAGATCCATAAAAACAGGATTTATCTGGGAGAAAGACAGTAGAATAATAGTTGATTAATTTGGGAAAGCATCTTAAACTAATATCTGTTAGATTTCAGAATAAAATTTTCTTTCATATTTACCTACTTTGATATATTTACCTAATCTGCTATTTAAAAGTACTTGTCTACCTTGGGAACTCATATATTAATAGCTAACACTTTTGAGCACTTCTCGCATTCCAGGAGCTGTTCTGGAAACTTTTAAGTATTGTTTGCTGTGCCCCCTTTGTGATTTCCACAGCAGCAATGATACAATCTCCTTATCCTATGGTGTTTAGTTCAAGAAACTCTCAACTTCTTTTAGATAGTGTCTAAGTCTGTAATATCTTAGAATTCCTTTTGAATGAGGATACTGGACATTGGAACTGTGGGACTCACACTGATACGGAGATCTATCTGCAAGTACGACTGTTTTGTTAACTTCTTGTCTAGGAATCATTCTCTGTTCACAAGAGAACATATGAATACTAGCATAGAAACATTAAATAATAAAGCAAGATTATATTTGAAGTAATTACAGTACAATTTCTAGAAATCAGTTTTTCATTGAATTTTTTTCATTGAGTTTTCAAAATGTCTTCTGTGTCCACACCCAAGATTCCTAAATGATTCACGTATAGCCTCATTATCTTCTCTACTCTCATCTCCAAAAATGCATGGTAATCTCCTTGTATGTTTTTAATAGGTGTAATCTTTATTGTTGAAAGTATTACAGATGTCCCTTTTTTCCCCCATTGGCCCACTCTACCCAGCTCCCGCCCCCTCCCCATACCTTCCACACAAGGAGGAAGCTAGAGATGGCTGAAGATGTAGAGAATGGGATAGGATCATAAGCACACACAGAGCAAAGGAAAGCACTGGGGGTGGCATTCGTGTTTCAGAGGCCTATTTCCAATATCTTTGTTTTTGTTTTTATAATGCTTAATAGTGTCACATTATGGTTTTGAACAATTCAATATTATAACTTATTCACTTCAGTGTCTCATTTTACTAAAATACAACCATTGATGCTTCTAAAGCCATTTTAAAACTTTTTTTAAATTATTATTTTTAAGAGGAATTTTTAGTACTCCTGAGAAGATCACAACTGAAAAGCTTCTATTCTCTTGAATATTGATTTGAACTTACTGTAATATTTTTAACAATTTAACTTTATCATTATTTCTTTGGCTATATATTGTATTTAACTTTTCATTGTTGTTTTTTTCTTTGTGTTAATGATAGTGAAGAAATTATATTTTTCAAGATTTTTTTAGGTCCTTTGAATATGTTTGCAATGTGATTACTGCAGGCATAGAAAAAATCTAGAAGCTAACCATAAAATGAAAAAAGAATATTAAAACGTTGATTCATTTTCAGCAAACTTAAAAATGCATTATTTTTCTTCAATTGACATAAAAAACATAGTTTCAAATGATGGTCTCTGGAGTTTTATGTATTTGTAACTGATAATTAGTACCATTTTTTATACCTTCCTTTCCTTTAGAGAAGACATATATTTGGAATTTCATACTTGGCTGTAGAGTCATTTTTTTCTTTATTTAAATGAATTGGCATTCTTACTCTTTATCTAGTCACTTTATATATTACTGTCAACTTTTCTAAATAAGAATTGGAATTTCTTTTTTGAGTAGGGATATAATTTTATTGCTATATGACTATTTACCAGGAAAAGGCCTTTTCTTTGTAGAATAAAAGAGAAAACATTTAATCAGGTCCTTCATTTCATGCTCTGCCCCTTCACGGTGTTTGGGCTCCACATCCTCCCCTCTGACGCAGTGCTTCAGGGCAGAGGACTGTCAGGCCTGAGAGAAAATCTCATACACCAGGCACATTCATACCCATCTTCCGAACTCTGCCCTTTTTATTCTTTTCCTTTGTCATCGGGATGGTTGGGGTTAGCCTTGTATTTGCAGAATTGTATTGACAGTATCACCCTTTTAACCAAAGGATGGAGGCAACAGGAAATTTCGAAGTTTAAAGATGAAAACTAAACTCTTCCAAATAGTGAGGAGCTGTTCTAAGTGAACTTGTCTTGGTATCTTAAGCAGATAGTGAACCATGCATAAATTAGATGTGTTATTCTTCATATGTCATGCTACATCTGTCCCTATTAAATTTCATCAGTTACATTTTTACACACAGACCATACATTGATTCATCCAAAAACATTTCCTTTGGGCCTACAATATGAGGCCCTTTCTAGGGGCCAGAGATAGAAGATAGAGTAGAGAACATTATTGACAAACTCGGGGGGGGGGGGGTTAATATATAA